CACCAGGCCTCCCAATTCTGGTCGCCCTCAGGCAACGACTGTTCTTACTTTGCCTATGGCACAGGCACATTATTCTAAGCACATGATTGATGATTAAGGATGATACAATGATTGAATGAACGAATGATGTTCCAGTTATTATTACAATTTCCTGGAACTACAGGGTTGCCCTCAGGTTGAGTGTGGAGCAGCTTGCCCCAGGTCACAGACTGGCGGGGAAATGACTTGTTCAAGACCATGTAGCCAGTAAGAGGCCAGGCAGGGCACTTGTCTCCTGACTCCGGCTCAGTGCTCTCCAGCTCCCCCAGGTGGCCGGGTTAGGAAACCCAGGTGCTCTAGCTCCCGAGGGTTCTCTCCAGGGCCCCAGGTGTGGCATGCCCAGAGGACAGCAGCTGGTGGCACTTCTGAGACTCTGAACAATCATTTGAACATCAAAATGGTCCTGTAGGTGGAAATAAGAACCCCTCCTTTGCAGGACGATGTGTGAACAGAACGAGGGGAGTCTAAAGCAATGCACACCTTATGCAAGGCAGTGATTATAATGATTCTTATTAGGATGACAAATATACTCTTCCCATGGCCACCTCCTGGGCGCAACTGCTGACACGTTCCTGTTAGAAATCAGGGACCCAGCCTGGCCAGTGTGGATCAGTGGTTGAGTGTCGACCTATGTATGAACCAGGAGGTCAGGGTTTGATTCCTGTTCAGGACACAGGTCCAAGTTGCAGGCTCAATCCCCAGTAGGGAGTGTGCAGGAGGCAGCCGATCAGCGATTCTCTCTCATCTCTTTCTCCCTCTCCCTTCCTCTCTGAAATCAATAAAAATAGAAAAATAAAAAAGAAATCAGGGACCCAAATACTTAGCTTGTGCTACAACACAGTGTGTGAATCTGCCAGTGGCTTCCAGGCCTTACTGTGTGCAAGGAAAAAGGGTGAGGCTGCCCCATGGGGATGCCAGGTTCAGCCAGGCTGCTCGAGAAGGTCTCTTATTATCTTAGAATCCTTCTTCGAAGCCATCTCTGGGTAGCCGCGTCTTCTCGACCCCCCTCCAGTCCCCCCCCCCCCTTTTTTATCGTGAACTCTGAGGCAGGCGTGTTGTTTTTAGGGTGTGTGTGAATAGTCAAAGCTGGGCCGGGAGCTGAAATATTAATAGACCGTCCATTTTATAAGAGAGTCGGAGGCGCAGTCAGATCTTCGGGGAACCCGCATCTTGCTTTCTGACTTACCTGCGATTGTACTGTGCAGCGCAACAAAAGGCGAGTTGAAAGAGCGCTCCCCACTTCATCTTGCTTCTGAAAGGAGCAAGGCCCGGCTGTGAAGAGGCCCTGTAGGATTATTCTCTCTAACTTAGAAATTTATCCAATTTTCTCTGTTCTTCATCAGAGTGGAAAGCATAAGCTTTGCCGGTGTAGACTGAAAGATCGCGCTCTAAAAAGCAGTGTGGTTGACACGGGGTTTTGAAACCTGCTCCTGAACCCGAGTGATGTCTCCTGCATCAGTTGGGAAGCAGAGTGGGATTTGCACGGGGGCATTCACCAGCAGACAGTACATCAGAGACGGACCCTCTTTGAGCCCGGCTGCGAGGGCCCCTGTGAATCCTGAAATGAAAGGGAACTAACAAGGCTGCAAGGCCGGTCTCCGGAGTGATATTTTTGCGTTACGGCAGAGCTGATGTCTAAATTAGAGGAATGCTATCAACTTTGTTTAGATCCAAATTTTAGATTTCCTCAGAGGGTCTTTTTCCATCTTTAAAAATGCCGAATAGCCATAAAGAGAAGAAGAGAAGCATGCATGCGCAGTCTCACCGTCAGTGATGGTGGGCAGATCAAGGCATAGTAGTAAGGTTAAGGCTTTAGGAACCCCTCACCAGACCCATTGTCTTAAAGCACTGCTTAGTTTCTCCCAGGAATGATGCTGCGGTTTTAATCTTCTGAGTCCTTAAAAAAAAACAACAAAAAAAAGGGAAAGCCTTAGCCCATTTTTTGTAATATAAGCACATCATGATTAACAGTGGGAGGAGGGCGTAAACTGAGGCACAGAAAGGTTAAAATGGCTTGCACAAAAGTCTAAAGATACATTTAGCCAGTTGTATCTGAGTTCGGTCCTGTTTTTAGAGTCCTGCTCTCATGGTCCCCTCCACTCCCCCCTCTACCACAAGGGAATAAAACACCTAGCGAATAGAGTAGCCTTTGCCCCCAAATACTCTCCAGTGTTTTTTTGTTGTTGTTTGTTTTGTTGTTTGTTTTTGTTTGTTTGAGCCCAGAGTGGTTGCTATGAACTCCAGGCATCAGAGAGAGAAACTGAGTCACGTCTTGGACCAAGTGACTTGGTCCATGTCACAGCAGGTTGGACCCGGAGCTCCAAGCACTTCTATCATGGGGAGTGCAGAAGTGTTTCCGTTGAGGCCGTTGGTCAGTCACATGGCTGCCAGAAGGAAGCAGCATCCTGGGCTGGTGCTCGGGCTGGAGCACGTCTCAGCCCTTCCTTTACAAGGGCATTCCCACAGGTCTTCACCCTCCGTTTCCGGTCCTGCCATCACGCTGGCGGGTTCTGGTTGTGTCTTACGCACAATCCACTATTTAATCCCTGGCAGAGTGCACACATTCAAACACCTTTGCTTAACATCATGCAGAATGCGCTCCGCATGCAGGTGTCGCGATGTTGTGATGGAGCGTTATGACCAAAGCCCCCACAGGCTCAGACCTCCCCTGATGAAATGTTCTTCTTTCCGCAGTTCCGCTACAAGTCAGACCTGATGGGCATGAGGGGCACAGGATGGCTGGCGCTGAGCTCCCCGCAGATAGAAAGTGCGAAGAAGGCTGGAGAGCTCATCAGCGAGGTACCACCCACCTGCCTCTACTGCGACTATAGCCTAGCCCTAACCTCCTTCTGCAGAGGGAACCTATTGGGGGGCGTAGGGGCGGTTCCCAAGAGAGCCTCATGGCCACTGAACTCCCAGTATTCTTCCAGGGCCATTTGCAGCCAAATCCCAAAATGAAACAAGCTTTCTCTCCAAGTGTATTCTTTGCTGAGGAGTTGAAGACACGTTCAGATTGGGCGGTGAAAGATGGAAGATGCATTAACAGCGGTTCTCAACCTGTGGGTCGCCACCCCTTTGGCGGTCGAACGCCCCTTTCACAGGGGTCGCCTAAGACCATCCTGCCTATCAGATATTTACATGACGATTCATAACAGTAGCAACATGACAGTTATGAAGTAGCAACGAAAACAACTTTATGGTTGGGTCACAATATGAGGAACTGTATTTAAAGGGCCAGAAGGTTGAGAACCACTGCATTAGAAGGTTCTCAATAGATACATTGTGAACAATATGATCTAAACGGGCCCATCATTTTCATGGGGCAGGGCACTGAATTTACCACTCACCTTCTCAGTTTACTCAGGGTGTCCACGGTTTCTCTGATTGAGGTGTTCAAAGATGCACAGGGATAGTTTTATTAACTGAACTTGCAACATTTAAAAAAAAAATTTAATTGATTTTTTAGAGAGGGAGGAAGGGAGAGGGATAGAGAGATAGAAACATTGATCGGCTGCCTCCTGCACTCCCCCTACTGGGGATCGAGCCCGAAACCCGGGCATGTGTCCTGAACAGGAATCAAACTGGTGACCTCTTGGTTCATGGGTCGATGCGCAACCACTGAGCCACACCGGCCTGGCTGAACTCCCACCGTTTATTTTAATGGCCGGGGATTCTTGCCCTGGGATCCCCTCCAGGGTGCTGCATCCAGAAAAATGCCTGACATTCAACTGTTATGTGGGTATCTTTGCCTCGTTTTTACAGACCAAGTACCGGGAAAAACCAGACAGTCTCAAGTTCACCTCAGTGGTCGACTCCCCGGACCTGGTTCATGCCAAGAACAGCTACCTGCACTGCAGTGAGGTGGGCGTTTTCTCGTCACTCCTTCCAGGCTCACGGTACTGGGTCGTGAGCTCAGTGGTCAGTGCTGAGCAGCACGGGCTCCCCATAGGATGGCTGTGTGTGAAAAACCTGCTTGCTACCCGGATGATCTCGGGCCAGTAACTTCATCGCTTCCAACCGCGGTCCCTTTATTAGAAAGAAAGGGAATGACAGCACTCATTTCACAAGATGAAGTGAGTTAAATGAGGATTAAATAACAGCACATGAAGCTTTTAGCACGCATCTGGAACATAGGAAGTCCTCAGTAAATGTTCTTTATTATGGTTTGATTCATAACTGTAACAATAATAATACTAAGTATTATTGATGATCCCTTACCAGATACTAAATCAGATACGGTGGGGCCTTGACTTACGAGTGTCCCGACTAACGAGTTTTTTGAGATACCAGCTGTTTCTCAGCCAATTTTTTGCATTGAGTTGATAGAGTAATTTGAATTAACGAGCTCCTTAATGAGCTCGGTCTCAGAACGTATTAAACTCGTAAGTCAAGGCCCCACTGTATATCCTTTTTTAAAATTGATTTTAGAGAGAGGGAGAGAGAGAGAAACATCGATGTGAGAAACATTGATAGGCTGCCTCTTGTACATGCCCCAATCTGGGATCGAACCCACAACCTTTTTGGTATATGGGACAATGCTCCAACCAGTTGACCCACCCAGCCAGCTAGGGTGATCAGATACATCTTAATTATTGATAGATGGTAATGGAATTATCAGCTTAACACAACCCAGGTAGAAAAGAACAGCTATATTAAAAGCTTCTTTCTGCTTTCCTGTCTGTATGAGTTAGCCCCATTTCCTCGCTCCTGCATTGATTTCAAAGAATAGGAAGTTAAATGTTATTTCTCCGAAAGTGTCAGAGGTTTCAGCTCTGTACACGCAGTGACAAAGCTGTGCCAGCCTCCCTCGGAATCCGAATGCTCTCCCGCTCACGTTGGCAAAGCCCGCAGTGAATTTGGGGAAGGATCAGAATATTAAGTATTAAATTCTCCTCTCGAAGCACAGATGGGACTCCAGTGCTTCTTGAAATTGTGTGCAAGTCTTAAAGTGCTGCTCTAAACATAGCAGCTAAGATAAAGAGTGAGCTTTAAAACTGTGTCTTTCTGGGACCCCGAAAACTATGAAAACTTCACTTTTCTGAACACATGTTGAAGTATCCTACATAATAAAAACCTAATATGCAAATTGTCCCCTCAACTAGGATTTCAACCAGGGGGCAGGGCCAGCCAGCCCCGCCCCAGCCAGCAGTGGCAGGCAGCTGGGGGAAGGGAGGCCCCTTGGTAGCAGCAGCTGCTAGGGACCCTACCCGTGCACGAATTTCGTGCACTGGGCCTCTAGTTTTAGAATGAAAAGACTAATTAGTTCTTGTGTCATCTTGAGGCATCTTATTATGAGTAAAAAGCTTGAACGCTGTTCAGCTGCAAAGATTCTCCGAAGTAGCCACACCCTTGACACTGTTTGTAAAGCACATGGTGGCGCCCACAGGATGCTGGTGGAGTGGCCCATTTGGAGCAGAGCTTGAGGAATATTTTAAACAGGGTCTATTTCAAAGCAGCCACCCTACCTGGCCCTGACCACGTGGGCCCTCCCTCCCTCCGAGGGTGGCTTCTGAGGGATGCTGTCCACCTGCAGGCTGGGCTGTGTTCCTGCGATGGGCACTCGAGCAGGAGGGGAGTTCCTCATTGACCGTGAACCTGTCTTACCTGCAGCGCCTGTACAGGTCGGGGGATGCGGAATCCCTGCACAGATTCACCCTGATCCCCGACCACCCTGACTTCATTAGAGCCCGCCTCAACGCACTGCACCTGAGCGATGTGAGTGAACTGGCCATCCATGGGGGCCGGATGAGAGGGTTGCCTGTTTCTGTCAAATTATCCTAAGTGGGTTTTATTTGTAAAACAAAAGTCCTAGAGAGGAAGACGTAGGAGAAAAGGGACACCGCACTGAGAGTGGGATTTGAGTCACTTTCCCCGCTGGGCCTCAGTTTCCTCTGCTGTGAAATGGGAATGGAGCTGAGCTAATGATGCCTGTGGTTCCTCCCAGCTCTCACATTCTGGTTCTGGACATGGCTGCAAAGACCTTGGTGTGTGCTGGGTTACAGCCAGAAGAGTGGGCCCCATCAGGCGTGGATACCTGCTCTCTCTGATTCCTGGACACCCCTCCGTAGCCATTCAGAGGGTGACCTTGGAGAAACGGTGGCTCTTCCTCACCCTGCAGTTTGGAAAGTTGCTGCCATTGTGGCCCATCAGGCGCAAATACAATTTGCTCCTTTGTGCATGGGGCTGTGGCCTCCACACTCCAGTTTCCCTTGGATGTGTGCCCTTTGCGTGCATAACCAAAGATGCTGTTTCCTAAACCCAGGCTTGTTGTTGGCGGGGGGTTGGAGGCCCCTGGTTGTAATAGAATAGGCGGCCGCTCGGCCAGCAAAGCTGTGATCCTGGGATAACAGGTAGTGAGGCGGCAGAATCAAAAGACGCTGTCAGATCAGAATAACACGGGCTGAGTATGTCGGCCTGGGGCTGCGGCGGGCCTCCCAGCGTCGGCCATTCTCCCCTCCCTGGTCTGGCCATTGTGTCCTGGGGCTCCGTGCAGAAGAACAGCTGCTACCGGTCGCCCCAGAGGTGGCCGCCTTGCAGGGGTTGGTGAGGCGCCTTCTAGTTAGCGTGTACGAGAGTTTGTTGCATTTGTAAAGCCCTGTGGGATCCCACGCAGCGAATGCGATGGTGCTTTGTAAATAGGAGTCATTATGACCATCTGAGGCTTTGGAGGGATGCACGCGGGATAATTTTAGAACAGCAGCTCTGGTGGGCTGACCTCCATCTGGGGAAGCAGGGCCTCCCCCTTCTGCAGAGCTGGAACAAAACATCCGTCTCATTAACGCTTCGAGGATGGGGGAGGCCAGGCCTCCATGCGAGGGGCCACTGGAGGCCCACACAGCCCTAGAAATGGGGAGAGGACTGCCAGTCCACGTGGGGCCCAGCTTAAAGAGGACAGCCACCCCGGGCTGGCGACGGGCGCGTCTTTCCTCTCACGGGAGATGCCCGTCTATAGAGTCCTGGAGCTGAAATTAGCCACCGGGGCATGCGGATGTGGAGAACTCACGGACCTCCTTTGAAAGAGCACTTCTTCGGGGCGTGCGGAATACACACAATTGGATCAAGTGCTGTGTGCGGAGGATGTGGAGGGAAAGTGACCTTGGTGGGCAAAGAAAGCCATTGAGATGTGTCAGGCAGCCGAAATAACTAAAAATCAAATGGCTGTAATGTGTGAGGACGAGGACAAAACTGTGCCCACTGTGATAAAGAAGAGGAACGCCCAGGGTTCCAAATCAAAGGGGCTGCGGAATCTAAAGACTCCCAGTGGCAAGGCAAAAACCTCAACAGAATCAAAAACTCGGGGAGGAAGTGATGACCATCAGGCACATAGTATCCAGGGAGCAGTGACCAGGAGGAAGGGGGCCGGGGTCTCGAGGAGAACCCCGATCTGGGTCACGTGCTCTCGTTGACCCTCCGTTACAGAGACTCAGAAGCTGGGGTGCACTAGACACCAAACTGGGGTGATGTTGGGGTTGGATGCTGTCATCCCAGCCCAGGTCTCCTGGGGACCAGGCTCTTGAATTAGGAAGACCCTGACTGTTCCCTCTCTGGGAAATGATCAGGGTTTGACTCAATTTGCTGGGATATTTGTGGGACCCCTTCTATATGGCTCCCCTTCCTGCCTGCTAAACTCAACAGTGACCCAGTAAATCCAATCATTGGTGGGCCCTGTTTGAGATCCACCAATTAGGTGGTGACCCCAGGGATGATCGGTTCTGTATTTCAAGACCCTTGAACATAGTAGGCTTTTGGCTCCTGGTTTGTGGTGGTAGATGTTGGGGCTGGAGGCTAAGATGCAGGAGAAGGTGGGCAGCAGGACACGGGAATGATAAGACCCATCAGATTGGCCCAGGCCCTTCGTGGTCCCCTCTGGCTCCAGTTGTAGAGTGGGTGAGGCTTTATCTTTTCATCTGCCACTGCTCCTTTGTCCGCTCTCCCCCCTCCCCCCCCATCAGTCCCCTACAGAACAGAGCCCCGGCCTCGAGCTCTGTTTCCAGGTGACAAAAGTGAGGTTCTTAAGGGCGCCCTGACCTGCTGTGGCTCACAGAATGAGCCAGCTACCAGCCCGCTCTGGGGCTGTCACTTTGTCAAATGCTGGTGATGAGCCTCTCCCGCTGTCTCCCTTCCCTGTGGCCGAATAAAGGACAGATCCTCCACAGGCATCTCCAGATGACTTCTTTCACGGAGCTCTTGCCTTATACATCCGCTACATGAAGGCGCGGGCGATGGTGATGCCTCTGTCCGTGATGTGGGTCTACCTGGGGACCCAGGGGCTGTGCTTCCAGGCTCCTGGAGGGGGTGTGAGAACGACTTGAAAAGGAGGAAAATGAAAGAGGAAGATGTGAGGTCCACAGATCAGGGACTCAGTCAGGCTCTTGACAATCAATTTAATTCAGGTGAAGGCTCTTCCCTCGCTCAGTGCAGCCACCAAGGGAGCATATGGGATGCAGCATAATGGGGTGACATGACATCAGAAGTAGCCGAGGGCCCCTGGGAAGTCAGCGGAGCTAATGAACATGGGGACCAGGACCCGAGGAGCAGCACCTCCTGCTGTGGGAAGAAACAGGGCTCTTGAGCTTTGAGTTCCAGCATCTCAAAGAAGCTGCAAACCTGCGTCCCTGAATGTGAAAGCAGACATAGGAGGGAGGGGGCGGGGGCCTCTGATACCAACGGAGTGTGGCCAGTGGGCCAGACCCACAGACCCCAAGTCCCACAAGAGCAGTCCCTGGCACTCAGGTTGCACTTAGAGCTAGAGCCCATGGTGGCCAGTCCCAGCAATTCCAGAGCAGAGCAGGTCCCGGATGGGCTTGGGGCCACGGGCTCTGCCATTCCGGGCACCATCAAGGCGAGGGTTTGTGCTTAGAAACTGCCCGCTGCGAACCAGCCACATGGCAGACAGGGAGTGACACCTGCTCACTCACTTCTTTGTTCTCCTTGTCTAGAAAGTCTACAGGAACTCTTGGGAGCAGACTCGGGCTGGCGGCTACGACTTCAGGCTGGACGCCATCCCGTTCCAGACTGCCCGGGCGTCCAGGGAGATCGCCAGTGACGTAAGGCCTTGTGCTCTCTCTCGCCTCTGTGACCGATAGGTCTTACTCTGGTTTTCCCAGTTGACAGGCAAACCACCAGGAACCGAAACTGAACAGGTAGTTCACATGAGAGGAAGCAAGAGGCTTTACTTCTGAGAAGTCCATTAACACGTGATTGATTTGTTGAGCTGCAGTAAAGGGACTTCTTTCAGCTGAAGTGCAGTGTGATGGGGTTGGAAGAGATTGGTTTTCCCCCTTCATTGACTTAAGATCCTGGCTCAGTCATTTAGGAATTGGCTCTAAGGCAGTGGCTCTCAACCTTCCTAATGCCTCGACCCTTGAATACAGTTCCTCATGTTGGGGTGACCCCCAACCATAAAAGTATTTTCGTTGCTACTTCATAACTGTAATTTTGCTACTGTTATGAATCATAATGTAAATATCTGCTATGCAGGATGTATTTTCCTTGTTACAAATTGAACATAATTAAAGCATAGTGATTAATCACAAAAACAATATGTAATTATAGATGTGTTTTCCGATGGTCTTAGGCGACCCCTGTGAAAGGGTCGTTCGACGCCCGAAGGGGTCGCGACCCACAGGTTGAGAACCGCTGCTCTAAGATCTTGGACGAGTTGCTTAAATTCTCTGAACTCAAATTGTTACATTTTTGTAACAGGGATTTTTGAAATAGGGATCTAACACTTGTCTACTAGGATGGATATAGGAATGAAAACAGAATGGTTTAGAGCATCATGCCCATAGCAGGTGTCCAAACACGGCAGCTGTTACGATGGAAGAGGAAGCATCGTGGTTAGATATGCATTATCTGTGGACGGCTTGGTACTGGTCCACAATGAGATACATACAGAAACCAAGAGCAAGCATTTAGAAAGATGGTTAACAATTAGACATGTGACATCCAGGCATGTGACCTGTGGGCTCATCTTGTTGAGCAGGGGGGCGGCCAGTTTGGGTGTTTTTAAATCCACGTGGTACCACTATGCACTAATTGCGTGCAGTAGGACCATATAGTTGATGAATTGCATATTGAAAAAGCAAATTGAAATGAATGTGGTCCTTTATAGAGAGAGTTTGAGGGGCACTGGACTGGGTCCCTGAAAGATGGAAAGAATCAGAGGAAGAGTGGCTGCTGAGAGAATGGGTGCATTTCTCTTCCTTTGGATTGTGAATTACAGCAGCAATAATGCTCGTAGCCACCACCCAGTGCCAGACATGAAGCTAACCCTCCATGTCATGGAATCTTCTCCATGTCCCATAGCGTGGAAGTTCATTCTCCCATTTTTTTGTTAAATATTTTTATTGCATTCAGAGAGGAAAGGAGAGGGAGAGAGAGAGAGAAATATCAATGATGAGAGAGCATCCTTGATTGGCTGCCTCTGGCATGCCCCCTATACTGGGGATCGAGCCCACAACCCGGGCATGTGCCCTCGACTGAAATCAAACCTAGGACCCTTCAGTCCACAGGCCAACGCTCTGTCCACTGAGCCAAACCAGCTAGGGCCATTCTCCCATTTTTATCAGATGGGGACACTGAGGCTCAGAGAGACTCAGTAACTGGCCCAAGGCCACACAGCTAGAAGGTAGCAGAGGGCCATACAGATGGTAAGTCTACTTGAATCCAAAGCTGTCCTTGACCCA